GCTTATTCAGTCACTTTGGAGGTTTCATAGTAGAACACTGTCATCTAAGTACTTGGGGGAGACATACCTCTGAGAACTACATGTGGGACAACTGCTAGCACTACACCATCTGAAGATCTCCTGAATGACTCCTGCATTGGCAAGCTAGAAATATAGTTTCTGTTACTCCTCATAACCACAAATCTTTTTCCCTTCTGCTTTTCCCATAGTTCACACAGTCATCCTTGCTACGGCTTTACGTTATTGTTAAAATTGCTTGTAAATGTAGACTTTATAACAGAGTTAATTTGGGAAAAAAAAATTAATAGGTGATGTAAACTGGAGATTAAACTTAATGGATTATCTTGTTAGATATTTCACCGGTAAAAAGTACAGTGGAGGGCCCAAAATTGGAAGGTGCTATTTTAAAGTTTGTCAGCCATTGTGATAATTGATGTCTGAAACTGTCCTTCATTTTTATGCCTTAAGTCTTCCCATCCATTTTTCTTTAGAGCAGTACTGGGGCTTTGTTAGTGGCAGCTAGAATTCCAGCAAGTCAGAGTCTTTGGTGTTAAGAATAGAGTGGGAGTGAAATGCATTTATGCTGTAACAGAATAATAACATTTTCCTGAGAGAAATTGCAAAGGCTTGTTGAGACTTTCTTTAACACATTTCTGTCAGAAGCTATGGAAAGGCATTGTATTTGTGCTTCAATATGCTAAATAAGAGGTATTTTAGACTTAAGAATGTTATGTTTCACTTGATTAGCCTAATAGTTGCAACCTACAGTTATATGGTGCATTAGCTTTCAGTGCTGTATAATAGGACTGGCAGCATGGTGTCCCAAAAACTGTAATTGCGTGGGCTGCTGAACAGTCGTAGAGAAAGCTGCACAAAAATTCTATTCTAGACAGAATTTTTTCATTTTGAAGTGAATTTCACAACAAATTCACAGCTGGACGCCACTGCTTGTATTTCCAGTGAATCATACTCCAGAGAAGTAATACTTTGCTTCAACAAAGCCTGCCACAAACAGTGCAGTGATATAAATCAGAAATTGGATATTTTTTAATTGTAATTTTTAAAAATATAGTACAGTTATTAACTATGCCTGCAAGTCCTGACATTCAGATATGTTTGGCTTTGTCTCCACATGCAAAAATGAAAATCCTTCACAAATAAGACAAAAAGAAGGCCTGAGGGGAAAAACCCTTTTTACTTACACTTTATTCGTGATAGGAAACTGACTCCCCAACAGCAGTGATTGTCACAACACCACATATTTAATAGCATAGTCAGAGCAAACCTATTACACGGTTTACCTTTAATTTCCAGCCTAAGTTTACTGATGGTCAGTTTATTTATACCATTCTTTCTTGTGCCAATATTGTTCTTCAGCTTAGCTAGTTCTCCCTCCTCTATCTGATTCCATTTACTGGCATTTTTGGAGTGCAATTGCATCTTCTTTCCGCCTTTGGTTTGTTTAGCTTGCCAAGACAAGGTCTTTTAGACTACTAGATGCTGCACTTTAAGCAACTACAGGTTCATATACACAGACTGTCTCTGAACTGCATAGCTTTGCACTTTTTGCTGAATTATCTGCTCTTAAATTGCAAAACTTGTCTAAGAAACTGAGGAAATATTTGAGCTTGTGCTGAGTCCCCTGATCCTGCAGTCGTAGCAGGACTGGACCTGCCATGAAAGGTCAGGAACACCTAATTACTGCTACTGGGATTGCAAGAAATAATCTCCTTTAAACTCTCAGTTCACCCATTTGTCCTTGTATGTGGTACAAGGATGCAAGATAAAATATGTCTGCTTATGCCCTTTCACTGAGGTTTTATTGTACAGCTGGGATGGGCCAGCAATGTGCAATACTAAGCTACTGTTGCTTCATTTTTACCATAGGTTCCATCTCAATGCCATTTAGTCAATTCATTCTGAGTTCTTCAGCTAGAAGACATAAGTGACCATATTATATCTTAGTTGTGCACCACCAGACAGTGGTATTTAACACCTGGTGCTACTGTTGCTGACATTAGTATTTCGTGCTTGTAGAAACTAACGGTACCTGGTTACAGTAACTCAGTGACTGACTCTTTAAGAAATGTGTTATGGAAGGTTTCCACATAGTTGATAGGCAACTTTTACTAGCACAGTCAGAAGTTGTTTAATTTGGGTGCTCAGCAGCAGACACAATTAGCAGCTTCTATCCTGAGCCAGGTTGCACGAATGCATGAGAAGAGGCACGCTACGTCAGGAGCTTAGGTAGGATGGGTGGGAAATGAGGTTTCTTTCTTGGAACCACATCACCCTCTTAACACAACCTTCCCACTTCGGTCTCTATACATTCCAGTTCTCACTCACCTCTGTGATAACTCTTCCACCCAGCTCAGCCTGCTGGCCTCCTCTCTGCAGGGTACACACCTGCCCTCTCTCTCTACTTCCATTATAGCTCCGCAGCTGTGCTGGGGTTTGAGTGAGATGCTTCATTAGAGAACAATCAGTGGGGGCAAAGAAATGCTGGTAAGTTCACAAGTGAAATTTTGATTGACTAATGAACAGGCTCTGATGGTGCTCAGGTATCCATAGAGAAGGGAGACTGTCTTAATCTTGTGCAGCATTTGTGCAAAAGTAAAAACACACAGTTTCCACATAAAAGATCCTGTTGTCACAAGGTGAGGCTGGTAGGCAGCCAAAAACTGAATACTACATAGGTTTGCAGACCAAAATCAACACTTAGCACTCTGAGGTTAACTTCAAACCGGCTCCCAAATTTACCCTGTACCTCTTGATGTGATTTGCATACCACCATTTGGTGTCTGGTCAAGTTCTATTTGTTTGTGGGACATGATACAAATTTTGCCCTCTGTGATGCAAAGCCTGCAGAGGATTTAAACTGGGGCAGAGTAAAGCAGAAGGAGGAAAACAGTAGAAGAGGAAAAAGGAAGGGGGTGTTGCATTTCCACATATACCTGTGATCTTTTGGTGTGGTTCAAGTACTGGTGTGTAGCATTCATACTTTGTTTTGCAGGTTACAGGGGAGGAGAAAAATGTCAGTTTCATAAAATTTCTAGTATTACTCTATTCCTCCCTCCCTTCCTTCCTTGTTGCAAAAAAATCACAAAGATAACAAGAAATTACAAGCTTGCAACCTAGTATACTATGCTGTTTGACTTGTCATTGGTTTCATTTAAATGGAAAGAGAGACTGAGTTTTTTCAAGGAAAAGAATAAAGCTAGTGAAAAAAAGCGTTAGAGATGTTTTGGAATGTGTGGGGAAAGACTTGTATTTTTCTTTACCTTTTTCAGTTATTAGCATCTCTTCTAGAGTGAAAATAGAACATGTCTTCTATAAAGGTCTTAATTCTGAAACCAAACTGCTTTTAGTGAGAGCAGTAAAATCTTTGATGCTTGCCTCTTCGCTATGAACTTTTGAAACGGAGACTGTCTGGGTGCAGAGCTCAGCTATGTCCTGCCTGCACATTGGAACAAGAGTCACTGTTCAAACATCTCGCCCCCGACTTTCCCCCAAGCACCCTGGCTTCTAACAGGAGACCCGTGATGCCCTCCAGGCCGCACCCTCCAATCTAAACTCCAGGCATTGCACAGTGTAGATGCAGGCGATGAAAGCGTTTGTACCTTGTGCAAGGGGGTCCTGTCATCCTGCTCTTACAAAATGCTTGTCCGTAATTGTCTAAGTAAGAAAGAACAAGTGTCTCTTTTTTAGAGTTGTGGGACCAGTGGTTAAAAAAATGAGCGCAACTGAGATGGCAGTTGTGAGACGCTACTATATTCTCCCATAGAATAAGTCATTTTGGTGATCTCGGGTAACTCCTTGTAAAGCTACTTTTTGTAGTAGGATTAAGTTGCTGCATCAGTGTTATCTGAGGAAAGGTGGAGCAAGTAAGATGAACTGATTAAAGGTTCACTTTGTAATTTTTGTAACAGCAGCCGTGATCACACTGTCATCTCTGAGCTGCATGCTCTCGCCAGTCTTTGTCCACGATTCTGATCTTTTACTGTTGATGGAATATACCAAAGGGAGTGATGGGGTCATTGCACTTTCTCTGATTCATACTAAAGTAGTTGAAATCAGAAGTTGAGGTCATGTGGATCGGTAACCCTCTCTCATTACCTTGTGTTGCACTTCCAACACTTATGCATACTTTAATGAGTTAAATGCTGTCTAATTTGCCTTTGCCTACAAAGTGGAGTGCCCAGAAAAGCAAATGGGGCTGGTTTAGATTTTTGCCTGTCTTGCGTCTTACGCACTGGAGTCTAGATCTGGGAAATTACTCCAGAATTACAGCAGCATAGGGAACTAAGAACTTGTCCTAACTGAAGCATACCCTGCTGGACGTCCTTCTGTTTAGAATTTCCTTTTTAGTATAAATTCACAAACATTTTGTATTCTTGGTAAATAAAATGCTTATTTGACTTCTCCACCCTCCCCAGGAGGAAATTTCTACTAAGGCATGACATCTCCTGTAAACTGCCATGAGTAATACCTTCTGACCTGCTTTCAGAGAAACAAGAGTCCTTGCTATTTCTATCTATAATAATAATGTACAGTCGGAGAAGCTGATAAAATAGTAAGATCTTGAAGACTGTTGTACAAACAAAAACCCCTTGTCTTCTGTGTTTGTTTAGAACTTACCGAGCTGTAATGCCATGGTATGTGTATTCTAGCAAGACATCTAGAATTTATTTTTAATAATGCTAGGTTTTTATTAAATTGCAAAGTTAGTGAAATTGGATTGCCAGAGAAGAAGAATACTGAAACAGGAACCTGCTGGCTTTTTTAACCTTTTGCTGTAAGGAAATGTGCCTTTCTCCATTTGATTTGAAAAAGGAAATAGACTGGTGGTGTGGCTATGGAACTTTCTCTTTCTGCCTCTGATTGCAAAAGTGCTAGTGAGAGAATGAAAAGAAAAAGTACAGTATTGAACAGTAGAATATTATGGCTTTGTTAAGACAACAGAATGAAAGTAATTAATTATCCTGTTTGTTTTGTTTCAGGCGTCAGAAACTATTTGAAAGAAGCATTAGTGAATATCATTGCTGTGCATGCAGAGGTGAGAAAAACTTCAGATTGTTTCATGCTTACATTCATATGAATAATTTCAGTGTACTTTGCGTGGTAAATCCTGGCTTTCATCACCCTTGAAAATTGTACCTCTGTTGAAGTGTCTTCATTATAGATATAAGTGCTTTGGGTTAGGTTTAGCCAACCAAGTATGCAACTGCTAACTTTTTTTAAGGGCAAGAGGAGATGAACAGTTCCTGTTTATCCTCAGTAACACTCCATTACACCTTTTTGTTTCCGCTATCTGATGAAGAGGAAAGCCAAAGTCTAAAGCTCAGTTCTTCCCTTTTCATGCAGATGAGAGAGAGAGAGATAATACTCACTTTCTCTGATTAACTTTATTTTCCACAACAAATGAAAACGAGCTTGTGCTTTGATTTGGAAGAAATGTTGAAAATATGCCACTCGGAGTGAAAAGGCAAGATATGTCATTCTTGTACATAGGATAAAAAGTGGAAACCTGAAATCAGAAAGTTTTATAGTCTCTGTAGAGCACAAATTGTGTCTTAAATGCTTAAGTAGGTAATGGCTTATGATAGGGACTGCATATTATAATTAAAACATTATTATTAAAATTATATGCTTGTAGAGCTGCAGTTATTTAGCCTTTTGTGATAATATGCAGGAATTTTCTATAGTCCTTTAAATTACAGCCTCTGTTCTACGTACTCCTTCCTTCTAATCATCAAGAGTGTTACCAGATTACTCTTGCTCTTGGTACTAGCATTGGTAGTAATACCACTCTTACCTTTCAAAATACCACAAGTATAGCTGCTCTACCTTTTCCACCTGCTTAAAATCTGATGAGATTTACTTGATGGCGTTATTTTATTCCTTCTTAAATTACAAGGATTCATATAAATGAATATATTTTCGGAAACTTTAAATATCACTTGGAATATTTTTGATTCAGTATTTACTTATAGCAGTTTTTACAGAAGCATTGCTGATTTTACCAAATGCTTCCGAATGAGGGAATAAGCAACACCAAAAATATATACCAACATGCCATTTGTTTTTAATGTTGTTTTTCAGTGTAGTGGAAATTAATGAAAAAGGGAATTTTTGTTTTAAAAAACTCAAAGGCATTTGTGACTTACTGAGCTAATCCTGTAAACATGCATACTCGTTAAATTGCTGCAGTAGAAAGGTGCACTCCCTTGCTGACTTCATTGAGACCGATACTGATTTTGGCCCAAATAATGTTGCCTCATAAACTTCTAGATGTGAAATATTACAGAAATATGAAAACATGTGTCAAGATGAAACTCCCATTTCCACTGTTTTCTGGTGAAATTCTGTAAGTTGGGTCAGATTTAAGTTTAGTTAGCAAGGCTGTGAGTTTCTGTCATTTGAAACAGCAAAAATTAACCATCAGCTGAACAGCGAGCATGGACTGAAGTGGAAAGAAAATTGTTTCTCTACCTTTGAATTCAAATTTAACTGAAATCAAAATAAGGACTTCCTATTGCAAATTTGTGATGATTCACCATTGCTGAGAATTTTTTTTCCTGGATTCTGTATAGTAACTTCAAGAGTGCTCGTTGTAGGCACAAATATTCTCTTCTCAGTAGAAGATTTTTGGACGTGTTCCTGGTATGTTTGTGTTGAATTGCTCAGCAATATTTGCTAATGAATAAGATGACCCCTTCCCAAATCGTTACTGGGGTTTTTGTGGGTTTTTTTTATTATTATTACCATACAACTAAGTATGTCACTTAGCTTTTGTGGGTCAAAACAGTTAAAACAGTCTGTATATTTGAATTAGCAGTGGTAACAGCTGATAGCTGGTGTATATGTGGTCAGTATACTTAGCCTATGGTGCAGAGCTGCCTTTTGGAACGGTCAGCTTTATGGGATCCCTAATACATAATTCATTACTTAAATCACTGAAAACTGTGTAGGAATCTTGCATTCTTCCCTCCCACACACCCCCCTCAATTTACTTTTTACACATGTATATGAGTATCTTCTGTCAATTACTATATTTCCTTGTCAGACATGAGATCTAAACTTCACATAAAGCAAAGGTATTCTAGCAAAAAATCATTCCACTATTTTTTTTTTTGGATCATTTTAAAGCAGAAATCAGGGGAGAAGTGTTTAAAAACTCTATACAGTTCATTTTCCTTCTTGTACCACTCCAGTCACATCATCTTCAGTTCCTTGTGTCATCTTCTCCCCTAGCCCTCTGCAGTTTTAGAGCAGCTTTATTATCACCTTTAAATCTTGACACAAGTTTGGTCTGTCTAACCTATAATCTCACTTCCTCCTATATTCCAACCTCTTGGCCTGCATTTTTCCCCAATTTTGTGGAGAAAAATCATACTACTATTTTTTTTTTAATTCACCAACAATTTCTCGCTTCCTTAAAGTTCCCTTTAAGGAAGATTGGTTTCTTCATGCTTTCCTTCAGGCATAGATCTACTGTTTAATTTTGTGTTGGTGTTGTGTTGCAGTTGCTATTCTGAATGTCAAATGGAGGATCCAAGTACCACTTTAAAAAGTTACACAAAAAACCAGTTAAAAATACGATCTTGATGCATGGAAGAAACAGTAAGATGTGAAGTTTTTGCCAGGGAACTAATACATGGCAGCGGTGGAAGAATCTAAACAAAAATCCATTACCCCACCCTACTCTCAAACCCGTTCAAAGGCTTATCTCTGCCACAGAGCATAAAGACACTAGCCATTTGGCAGTAATCAAATATAAAGGATTCTAGAAGAAATAGCAAAATATGTGGGTAAAAAGTGGCTGAATGTGCAATTGGGTCAGTCACACAACCCTGAATTAAAAGTGCTACATACAGAACAGCAGTATGTACAACTGCCTGCATCCATCAGCCGGGAGCATGTATTTTGAAGTCTAGCTGCTTTTAGACATTGCAAGTTGTCATTATCACATATCATATAGCTAACATTGCTATTAACAAAGGTGATTGATCAAAGCGCAGGGTGAGCATCAAAAGAAATCCTTCATGTTCCAGTTGCTTTTGAAATTTTTTTGTCCATTGATAAAAACAAAGTGGTCGTTTCAATCAAAGTTTTTAATGCTTTTTACTGAAATGTTACTGTAGAAAATATTTCTGTTAATATAGATATTGTGTTCGTGATTCTTCTGTCTTAAAAATCAGGTATTTACCATTTCCAAAGATTTGGTTCCTCGGGTAATGTCAAGGGTTGTAGAAGCAGTCTCTGAAGAACTGAGTCGACTGATGCAGTGTGTTTCATCCTTCAGCAAAAATGGAGCTTTACAGGTACCTGAATGCTTTGTACTGTCAAACATCTGAATCTAAAAAACTGAGAGCAACAGAGAGAGGTATAATCTGTGTATTTGTTGGATTTACTGTAGCAGTGAAAGCAAGGAGATGAAAAGGATTAATATACAACCTATTTCAGATTTATGGATGAATGCTATTTGGGATGCTGGTTCTTGCGTTTGGTTATATCATAGAATCCTAGAATCATTTGGGCTGGAGGGGACCTTTAGAGGTCATCTAGTCCAACCCTGCTGCGGTGAGCAGGGACATCTCCAACTAGATAAGGTTGCTCAGAGCCCCATCCAGCCTGACCTTGAATGCCTCCAGGGATGAGGCTTCCACCACCTCTCTGGGCAACCTGTTCCAGTGCTTCACCACCCTCATTGTAAAAAATTTTTTCCTTATGTCAAGTCTAAATCTACCCTCTTTTAGTTTAAAACCATTACCCCTTGTCCTGTCACAGCAGACCCTGCTAAAAAGTCTGTCCCCATCTCTCATATAGGCCCCCTTGAGGTATTGGAAGGCCGCAATGAGGTCACCTCGAATCCTCCTCCTCTTCAGGCTGAAAATATTTTAGTGTTGTCTTTGTGTCTGAGTGCATAAAAGGTTACCTGTATCCTATGAGAGAAAAAGCATCATAATGATATCTGTTTGAAACATTGTTAAATACTGTGTTTGGCCTGTCCTCAAAAAATTAAAAGAAAAAACAATTTTGTGATATTTTGACATTTTAAAATCTTGAAAATATGATGTAGTAGGATCTTGCAAGTCTTTGCAAAACTAGTCACTTGTCTGTTAAACTATTTCTACATTAGCACTTTGTTGTAGCATGGGTAGTACAGATACACTTACACTGCCTTCTTCATTTACGGCTGGATTGGTAGTTGTACTTGCTATTGGATAAGTTTTAAAGGACCCTAAGAAAAAATCTTTTAAAAAAAATCCCTTTGAGTTAATGTTGGCTGTAACAGGCAAGAAGAGCAAAGTTTTCACTGTAGATGACAGCATTCTTGCATTATGATGGCAAAATAATTGTCCAGTTGCAAGCCTTGTTTTCCAGTTGCATTGGACAGAGAATTAATGTAGGAAGATCTCAGCCAAATAAGTTTACCTGTTTAAAGCCAAATCAATGAATAGCAACAAAGCTACCCGTATATCATTTTTGTTTGACTCAACAACCCAGTGTATGAACTTGCTGCCTAAACCTGTAATTCAAAGGATTTTCTCTCCTTGCTATAATTTTGTCACTCATGGTCATTTTCTGTTCCTCTAAACACAGAAAATCCTGTCTGAGAGACAGCAGCAATGTGAGAGTGATCTGAGCCTGGTCAGACTGATCAAAAAATGCCCATTCCCAAAGAGAAGCCTGCATCTGTATTCTCGCATACCATGACCCACAGTTTTGCAGGGTTTGCCCTTCCACCATGTGTATTTAGGCTGAGAATTGTCACTTGAGAATGTGACACTTCCCCATGGTACTGCTACCTCCTAAAATGTAGGAAAGACTCCAAAATCTTATGTGTAGGACTGCAAAAAGTCAAAGACTGTTCAGCTTAGAGCACCATACAAAAAGAGGTGAAACATTCTGTGGTGAGAAAAGCATTTCTTGTGAGTATAAAATTGGTGGGTGGCTATGTCGTATTTTGTGCCAGAAAGTTCTGGCACTAAAAAAGTGTAAATCTCAGTTGGCTTCCTACCTAGGGGACAGATGAGGGGAAGACCTAAAAGCCAAAGCCTTTCATTAGAACTAGAATTAGATGTCTGTGTTGCATTATAAAAAGTTCTGGTTTGGAAGATTAATGTCATATTAGTTGAGTCTAAATGTGGATCAGTTTCTGTAATGGCTAACTGGATTAAATTTTATCTTTGATGAACAAGCATGGAAATGAGTTTGGATGAAGTTCACTTCATATTTTTAAATGAAATTACTTTAAAGTATTGATCACATGCAGAATGTTTCTATTTCACTTAAAACCTGTGATAATAATGATTGCTCTTCGAAGACTAAAGGACGATCTATGAAATTTGTTTAATCTTGAGTTCATTTTCCACCATAGTTTGTCTAGGTGAAAATTAATACCTAGACACCTAGTACAGTGCAGGAGTAAAATCCCCAAGCTTGTGTGCCCACCAGGTGACAGACGAGAAGCAGAGCACAACCGTTTTACTTCCTCATCTGATGGAAAAAAATAAATTCAACAGGAAAACCAAGAATAAAATGTGTATTGACAGATTTTCGTACTCTTGTGTTTCCTTCCTCCCTGGCCAAGATGTGCTGTAACAAGTTAAGCTCACTGGATTTAGTAATAATAAAAAAAAAAGACGACAGACAAATTAAGGTTGTGTCCTTCTATCTTTCTATCACAGTACAGAAAAGATGGAACAGAGTTGAAGATTTATTCCTGTTACTGAGAGACAAACCAATGTTTTTAGACTGCTACATAGTGACCATGCAAACAGTTTGACTTGAGTCAAAAATATGAAATTGTTCCTTTTACCAGTCTCCTGACATAGCAGCGTGGCAACGAAAAATACAGGAAACAAACTGTTAAAAGCCAAGGCTGCCTATGACTGCAGTGTGCAATAATATTTGCCTCTAAAGAAGATGAACCTTTGGCATACTGGTATTCGCTTGATGAAAGAACATTGTGTCATTGTTTTAAAATTTGTGTTTCTGTCTTTAGGCAAGACTTGAAATCTGCGCATTGAGAGATACCGTGGCCATATACCTAACACCTGAAAGCAAGTAAGATGTGCCGTAGTGTAGCGTGCAATGTGTAGTGTGCATTGTTTTTTCAATGTAATGGAATCCTTGGTAAATGTGCAAAAGCACATAACATAAATTAAGGATTAAGAAATTTTGCTTCAAATAGAATATGTGATATGCTAGGTGAATATATGAAAAATGGATTACTAGCGAAGTTTTATCAGTTGAAGGAAAATGATTACTTTTTTGGGGGGTTTACTTGAATTTTTAGACACAAACTACTACTTGCCACTCAAAAAAAAAAAAAAAAACCCACAAAAAAAACCACAAAAAAAAACCCCAAACTTGTTAACAGCAGTTCAGCTGCTGAGGAAAATTATGCTAAAACAAGACAAAAGCAGATGAGCAGATGTCACTGAGTTTTATCCAATTTTTCACAGCAATCTCATAAAGCACATGGCAAAGAACCTACCAGACACATCAGAGCGGCTACAGAACTGGACACTGGCAGGATCCCCTTATAGGGATATGGAAAATTAGGGCTCTCCACAAGATTGTACAATACCCTACTCCTTTTCCACACGCTAATGGGGGAAAGTGAATTTGACTTCACACTGTCTCTTAGAATTAAAGCCTTCAAAAGGCTTTCAGCAATTTATCATTTCTCAGTGAGGTGCAAGACCAAAGATAAATAGCGTGGGACACACACATTAATATAAAGGCAGAAAGAAAAGCATTAGCGGCATTGGTGGTTAATGCAGTCAAGGCATGTAAAAACAAACTATGATAGCTGTTAGCAGTTTTGAGTAAAGTTGATTGAAATTTCTAGGTGATTATCTTGGGGATTGGATATAGGTGAGTTCAGTCATTATTTTAATTTCCTATGCTTCTGTTAAGATTGGCATTACACGTTCCTGCAGATGGCAATTTGGTCATCTTTCCTGATGATATCATTTTGTAGGAGAGATTGCAGGGCTTGAGGGCCTAATGTGTCTTCATAGTGTCACAGATAGTGTCTTATGGTGTCACTGCATTCCGTTTCAAAAGACTTGCTTCCCTATTCTGAGTGTCCGATAGCGATGAAGACCTCTAAATGAAAACTAATTGGCACTGATTCAAACTGGATAAAATGGAAGTGACATTGTCTCTAATCAGCACAAGGGCAAAGCAGAGTGAACCCTGGAAGCTGGAGCTTCATAGCTGCTGCCTTATTCATGGACTTGTCACTAGTAATAGTTGCCACAAATCACCATATTAATCTTTTGCTGACAAGATTGTACTTATCTGTGCAGGTCCTGCATCGTTCCCTGTACTTCTGTTCCACATCTGTTATCCAGAGAGGGGTGGTAACACCATCTTTGGAGTAACTCAAAACTTGACTGGATAATGCTCCGAGAAACCTCCTCTAACCTTGAAGCTGGCCCTTCTTTGGGGGGGGGGGAGTAGACCTGAAGACCTCCAGAGGTCCCTTCCGACCTAAATTATTTTATGAATATACATTACCTCAATGCAAACCTACTGTAATTCTCTCTGTTGACCCCCTTTTGTAGGGGAGAATGCAGTGACCTGTCTACTGAGCACAGAAAGCTGAAAGAAATGTTTTATTTATGCTTCATACTCTGAAGGTTGCTTAGTTTGAGGCAGAAGGGAGGCTGGCAACTAACTGTAATTCTTGAAGAGTCCAGGATGTCAAGTACAGTCTTAAATCAGCTGCTGATTTAACATTTCCTGTTGATGTCTGGTGTACATCACATTAAGAATGTCAAGAGACCTGCTTGAACCCACGACCACTTTGTGATCAATTTGCACATGAATGTCAGGTGTCAAGTTAGTATTTTGTTAATTTATTCAAATAAGAATGGATAAAATATAGCGTATCTCCATGGAATTTGTAGAGAGAAAGAGTGAATGCTGAGACTTGTACCAGTGGAATAAGTATTTTTGTTTTACTTGCAGCTCGAGCTTTAAGCAAGCTTTGGAAGCCTTGCCTCAGCTCTCGAGTGGAACTGACAAAAAGTGAGTATAATGCACCTTGTTGTCTCCTTTCTGGCCTCTGGAGCCATGCTTGTTACTCTTGTATCAGAACTTTGTCATAAGAGGGTTAACGTTCACTGTATTTGACCCTTCTGAATTACAGAGCAGAAGCCTCTTCGGACAGACTTAAGAATAAGCTAAGTCCTTGTTCATCATGGCCTATTAAATTACTCAGAAGAGCTGCTGGCTTTGTGGCATATCCCTCTTGCCCATCCTAGTCTTATCAGTTCAGTGTAGCTTTGTATTTATTTTGTAATTTATTTTAGCCTTCCTTGTTAATCTTAAAGTTTCTGTGGGGTCCATTGTCTTGTCTTCCTGAATTTATCAGCAATTAAAAGAATGGCAAAGCAACAAAGTCCAAGTTCTTGCCAGCTGAAATATGGGGAACTGTCAAATCTGGCCTGTTTCCTTTTAAAAACAAATAAGAAGGGTCTGTGGTTCGTTCTTAACATCAGAAGGAGGAGTTTTGGGTTTCTCCTTCCTCACCATAGCAACCTTTGACGACCAAGCTGCTTTGCTGCATCCAACCTAGTTTTACAAGTATAACTTAATAAGGAGTAGTATGGTAAAACTAGGATAGATTTATAATTAGTGTATAAGGATAAGTATAGATGTTTTGAACATGAAATTGGTATTATGGTACTTTCCGGAACTGAACTGTGTCAAATCAGTTGCACTCAACAGTCAGAATTTAGAATATTTTGTAGACACACAAAGAGACTGTTTGTGCAGCCCGTGGTCTGCAGACTGTGCCTTCTTCCAGATGTCCTCTGTCTATTTATTGAAACCTACTCCTCACTAGCCACAACAAGTCTCAAGATACCTTCTTGCCTTACTTAACTCTTATGTTTTATTAAAGATAGGAATCAGTTTTGAGTAAAGAGAGTTCTTTCAACTCAGACTTTCCGAAACACCTGTAGAAATCTTTTTTTCACTTAGTCACAAGCATTTGAACTTCATGGGACAGATGAGAATCAAGAACTGCATCATTTTTACATCTGCCTCAGGGTTCTGCACCCTAGACAGTGCAAAACTTGTTCTATTTCCCAGGTTGTTACACCATAATTGTCATCGTTCCAGGCAGCTCATTGTAATGTACATATATTTGTGTAAAATAACACACATTTGTGCACTGATTTAGAGCTGTTCATTTCTGTTCATTCACAGTCATTACTATGATAGTAAATGATGAATGTGGCCATAGTCATCTTCCAGAGGACCGACTGAGGAAGCAGATACTGATTTTGTGGTTCAAGTTGTTGTTCTTGGGTTTACAGATTATAGTAAATATTATCCACTGCACCAAGTACCTTCTTGGCAGCTATGTAGATGTAAACCAATCATTGTCATGTTCCAGAATGAACTCATGCATAGTTTGTTATCTATGAAGGACAAAAACCACATGGTTGCCAGTGAATTAATGTTTCTCCTAGAACAGTCTAATCTTTCAGCCATGATACTTAAGAGAAATCAACAAAATACCTTCCAAAGACAAGTTTGAGAACTGAAATTTCAGCTGCACACGAAAAGCCATAGCCTTGATAAGGGATACTAGGTTTATGGTATATAGTCTGGCAATTTCTGGATTTTCCTTACAGAAGTATCTTATGATGCTGTCTACCAGTCCTTTTGCCATTCTGTTTTGCAAATACGTTTCTCTCAAGATGATGATCTTTATCTGGAAGGAAAGCTATATAAAGGGCTATTTTTATAACCTTGATAAAATCTCTGTGGCAAGTCGTCCTCTGGCCACAGATCATCCTGACACTTTGGTATACTTCTAAATGGCTATAATATTCAGATATTTGAATAGATCCAATTTTAGACCTTTTATTTAAGCAGACAATGTACTTGAAGTCACTGACAGAATAGCCAAAATTTTTGGTAATTGTTCCCTTTTCAGAATCTGCTAAAATTGTAACTATTTTCCTTTTACAGGTTACTCGAAGAGTTACTAAACAAATTTAAAAGCAGCATGCACTTGCAGCTGACCTGTTTTCAAGCTTCTTCATCAGCAATGATGAAAACGTAGACAATGACACAATGCAGGCAACTCGGAAGACAAATGTGCTTAAACGTCACCCATTGTTTCTGTACTTCTTCAATTCCTTTGAAGATTCTGAAGAAAACAAAAGGAATTTCACTGAAAAAGGAATTATGATATACAACTATTTGAGTAATGGTATGGGGTATCCTGCTGAGTCAGACTTCTGGTCATAAATATCTTGATAAAGTGGTTTTCTGTCTACTATATTTCATTCTGTGGAGGGGATTAAGCCAATTTTGTTTACATACGCTCTTCTTGGCTGTATGTTCATGAAGAGATACTCATTGGTGTGCTGCAATCTCAGTTTCATTTGTTAAAAATACATTGAAAAGTATTTTTAGCAAATGTCACCTTAAATTTGAGTATTTCTCATTTTGTTCAGTGTATCATTCTGTTACTTTCTAAGTGTGGAGCGATACTGATGTAAGTGACTGGAAGACTCAACTTCTATAAACTATTGAAGTACGTAATAAACATTCCTACATACAGCTGACTATGGATACAATATGGAGGACACTGCTTCTTTTGCATTTAAAAATTATCACTTTTTTTTTTCTGTTATCATCTGCAATTTTACTGACCATAAGTCTGATTTCTTTGGGAGGCTATTTTCTTGTTTCTCTTTTGATTAAACGTGTTCCTGCCTCTTGTTTCTCCCTTCTATTGGAATATCGATGATTACCTTCACATTTGAAATACACTCTCCTTCCATTGGCAATTAACAGAAAAGCACTCTGAGTTTATAAAAGTAGTAGTAGTTTTGTGAAAAAAATGTTCAAGTAAAATATTCTTTGGTGTTAAGGAGTAGAATAGTTAATTAATAGCCTCTCACATAGCTAGAAGTAAGGAAGAGCATAGTATGTCACTGGTTTTGCTGCTTCCTTCTTACTCCTCTTGTCTTGTCTTGTTTTTACAGAGTTACTACCACTGTCTTCCCCTTCACTCTTGTTAATCAGTCCTCTTTTCACCACTAGTTACTGAATTTGTGTGGAGGGGAATAGGGTTTAAGAAGGAAAGAACAATTTTGCTGCCATTAAGATGTAGTTACACAAAGGTCAACAACCATCTTCCCAACAGGGGAGGGTTTGACACTGACTTTCATTTTGGGACTTGATATAAGATGCAGGAAGCTATAACAGACAGCAACTAATAGAAAGTGGTCTTGTTTTGGGGGGTGAGGGGTGAGTTTAATTTTATAACTGAAATCACGACTTGCAAGTAAATCATGCAGTAATAATGTATTCTTTCTGTATTTACAGTCATTTTGAGTGGGACTTTTCAGAAACAGTGTGCTTTTTCAAACTTTTTTTAATATCAACTCTTTTGCCAATTGAGTTACATGCTTTAAAAATACAGCGCACAGTTCCTGTAATATGAAATACTGAAGAAACAGTTTGATGCACATGTATTTACTCGTGAAAAAAATTGTGTGTAGGTAGTAATAGCATGTTGAATGGAAGTTTGAAACTTCAAATATATGTCATTATTGGCTTTCAGGGAGAATTGTTAAACACCTGGAGCAATGTTGTTTTGTTAAATGCTGTACATTCTAAGCTGGTCATAGTCGCAGCTGCTGTATTAACTAGTATTAACTAGTCATCCCGTTAGCTCAATCTGTAAAGGATTTCGCTTCAGAATAATAAAATATTAAGAAATATGGTCATAAGCTGTTCTTGAATTCCTCACTTTCCAAGAAATGTGATTTCTCTATGAATTTTGCCAGTCTACATTTTCTACGTTTGTATCAGACATGTTCGTAGGTATTGAAAACATATTTTTATCAACTGTACTGAATTAATATATATTCAAACATCTCTTTATTGTAACATCATTCTCTTAGTAATCTTCTGTTACAACAGCTTGTTGCTTGCCTTTAAAACCTGAAGTCAGATGTTTGTGTTTAGTTGCCTTTCTGAAGTAACACTTCAGAACGTGTCATTGACAGCAAACAAGAGAATAATGTGTAAGGGGTCAAAATATTACTTGAATTCAACCTGATATGAAATAAATGCTCACAGTCAAGTCAGAGCACTGGATTTCAATAAACTCACTTGGTGGAATTAAGGAAGTCGGTGAGCATTGTGCTGCAACAGGATGGACTGGAATTCCTTTGTGTGGAAGGAAGGTTGGGACTGCTAAGACTTGATAGCCAATGTACAGGAGGCTGCAGTTCCTCTGAAAAGAAGATGACAAAAAACAAGAAGTGGTCAGTGTGGGTTTTGAAAAAAAAAAAATAAATAAATAGCCCAAACCATTCAAAGATACAATGAGGTTTAAAAAATATTATTGGAAGAGGAAAAAGTTGGGGAGACCACACCAAAAGACACCATCAGTTATGGCTTGCAGAGAAAAGAGAGGCAGCAAGGAAATCAAAGTAACAGAAGTGAAAGGCTCTGACCTTTAAAGCAAAGTTAAATGCTGAAAACGGTACAAGAGAAAATAAACTGAATTATTACATGAACTTTGAACCTCTAGAAAAATCTAAAATCCATACAGACTGGAAAAAAAATATTTGACACTGAAATAAAAACCTGGAGAGCTTTATTTCTCATTTAAGAGCAAAATTCAGGAAGTAATAAGACTGTAAAATGTATCTTGCTAAAACTAGGTAAAGACTTAAAGGAAAAATCTACCTCAGTATGCTGTCTTGAGATATTGAGATGTTGAGGCATTCTCTTATTGCTGTATTTTGAACATTTATTTTGAATAGTCATGAGTAGTTCAGAAGGTAGGCACAGAAGTAATAAAAAGCAAATGCTTTATCACTGTAATGGAGGGGACACATACTGAAAAAATACTTAAATCCCCCAGTAAGATCATGGGAAAAAAAAATAGGGAAAAATTCATTACATGCCTAGGTGTTAACTTAATGAAATAGATCAAGTAGCGTGAAACAATGGAGAAATCCTGCCCCTTCTCACCCACAAAATATTTCTTATTTAAATTGATATTCTTTAGAAAATATGTTTATGAAATGTGCTCATAGTTTGTCATTGTCAAAGTTAAACACCTTCCTATAGCTTTTACAAAGCCACTTAGAGAGTTTAAAAATATAAAAAGAACCATAGTCTTGCTAAGTTCTGTACATGTGCTGAATGTCAAACATATGAATAGACATGAGACTACTTGCTCAGAAGATCTTCAAATGTTGCACACGTCTGCATGTCTTTTGAGGATCAGGGAACTTGTATTCTGTGAGCTAAACCCCTTGCATCTTCCTCTGGTTCCATAAAAAGACCCAGAACTCCAACCAGTTTCATTTCACTGTACTGCAACAGAGAAGGAAATGAGAAATCCGTGCCGCGAGTGCTGCGGAGTTACGCTTTGTAGGGGCACTTTTGGCTGCAGCCATGACATGGGACTGTTGGCTTGTAGGTCCAGTCTCCCAAACTTTGCCAAAGCTATTGCACCTCCCTGAAGAGAGGGTACTTTATTTTGAAGGTGAGATGATTATTTTTTTTTTTGCTTCCTACTCAGACAGCCTTTTGCCATCCAGAACTAAGGAAACATTTCTGAAGTAATAGCGTGTTTCTGTGGCTGTATTGGTAAGTAGGGAGAGGCAGATAGAACAGAGCCGTAAAAACCAGCGTAATACTCTTTTTCAGCTCCATGCTCTGTAGACTTAGTTATTGCTTGTTCTGATTCTACTTCAGTTCAAAATACTCTTAGGTATGTTCAGAAAAAAGCAAGGATAAGAATTGTTGATATAAAGGAAGGTGTAATGGCAATTAATGTTTAAAAAAATTGTGATAGAAGAATTTCATGGAGCTCTTTGACTGCTGAGCCTACTAAATGACATGCAGAAAGCCCCTTGCCTGTGAACATCTAACACTTAGCTAGGCAATGCCCTAGGAAATATATCGTTAAAAATATTCACAAATTTAACTCCTTTTTAACTTTGAATGTAGTGATAGGCATTTTCTGCTTCTAATCCAAGAGAAGGTAGAAGAGTGCGATATCCTAGATACAATTTTGGCCTTAAGAAGAAGGAAACGTCAAGACAAGAATCTTTTGCAATGGTTACACACAATCATCAGAGACGGTGCTACACAGGAGATTTATACTTCCAAACCGGCTGCCAGATCATATTTAAGTCAACTCCAGCCAACTTCTTTGGACCTGTCCTGCTAAAATACTCTTGAAGTGTTGCAATTTTCCTGAGAATATTAATTAATACAATATTGATTGTATCAATGGATGCAAACACTGATCTTTGTGTCCAAACAGGTGTCTGGACTCACTAGCAATGACGGAGTTTACATGTTTTACACACTATAAGTATGCTGCTATTTTGCTCTTTTCAGTCTAGAATATCTCTAAAAATCAGGAGGAAAAGATCCTGAACCTCATCGGAATACATCGAAACTGAAAAATGAG